AAGCAGATATTGTGGGATTTTCTGCCTTGATAACCTGGGATATAGGGCTGTGTGGAAGGACCTTAGGCTTAACTGGAGCTGACCCACTGAGTCAATAGGATTTATGTACAGTGTTCCCTCACTTACAGTATCATGGGTGTTAAATTCCAGGACCACCTGCAAAAAGTGAAAATCCACAAAGTAGGGACTCTATATATGTATATCCTGTTCCGAGGGTGAGGCAGAAGGGAGGAGAGATTTAAAGGCACCACACACCTTTTTTGTTTTTGCTAGCTATCTCTGCTTTGCTTTGCAATCTCTCTTGATTGGCTGCCTCTCTCCCGAGGGGGAGGGTGAAACCCCCTTCCACACTCCATCATTGCCAGGAGGTGGGATTAGAACGCCGCTCTGGGCAACGGTAACCATTCATAAACTGGGAGGCAAAAACCCGTGAAAGAGCGAGTCCGCGAAAAGTGAACCACAAAGTAGCGAGGGAACACTGTCAAAATTGATTCACAAGTCCACACTTGGGTCATATCCTTGACAGTTAGGCATGGAGAGCCCTGAGAAATCCTTTATCATCCCACTTTTTCTCAACTCTTTCAAAAATACCTAAGTTCTCCTCTTCCTCCTCTGTCCTCAGCTTTCTTCAGCAAGTACAAACTGAGTTCAAAGTGCGAATGTAATTTGGATGTAGTTAATTCAGCAGCAGGAGAGGACAAGAGAGGAGAGAGTCTTGCCCTTCGCTGTAGACTCTGGCAATAGCAAACTGCTGCAGTCTCATCCCCATAAATAGCTTTTTGACATCTTGACCCCATTGCCATATCTTTCCCGCTTTTCATCTGTGAAATGTTGGAGGGAATGATGATCAAATAGGTCAGCTTTCAGGATTCAAATCTCACACTACTTCATCACACTAGAGAATCTCTCCACTTTAAATCTGGTTGCTCCCTCCTGCAGAATTCTAACCCTAACCCAGGACCTCTATGGCTGAGCTGTTTAAAGGCCCCTCCCTAAACTACAAACCCCAGAATTCTGTAGGAGGCAGAAAATGGATTTCAAGTGGATAGATGCTCTAGGGCCCGTCCAGACAGTACCTTTATCTCAGGAGCTTCCATAGCAAACAGGAGGGTGGTCAGACAATGTTCCCTGTAAACGTGAAAGCAATTGTTACAAAAGGCAAAAAATGCAAGATTTCCAGCTGTGGGAGTATTGTGGTATTGAGCCGAATATGCAGAACTTCGCTTGTCTGTGTTGTTGTTGTTCATTTGTTCGGTTGCATCCGACGCTTCGTGATCTCATGGACCAGCCCACGCCAGAGCTCCCTGTTGGCCGTCACCGCCCCCAGCTCCTTCAAGGTCAAGCCAGTCACTTCAAGGATGCCATCCATCCATCTTGACCTTGGTTGGCCCCTCTTCTTTTTTCCTTCCATGTTCCCCAGCATCATTGTTGTTGTTCATTTGTTCAGTCGCTTCCGACTCTTCGTGACCTCATGGACCAGCCCACGCCAGAGCTCTCTGTTGGCCGTCACCACCCCCATCTCCTTCAAGGTCAAGCCAGTCACTTCAAGGATGCCATCTATCCATCTTGCCCTTGGTCGGCCCCTCTTTTTTTTTCTTCCATGTTCCCCAGCATCATTGTTGTTCATTTGTTCAGTCGATTCCGACTCTTTGTGACCTCATGGAACAGCCCACGCCAGAGCTCCCTGTTGGCCATCACCACCCCCAGCTCTTTCAAGGTCAAGCCAGTCACTTCAAGGATACCATCCATCCAGCTTGACATTGGTTGACCTCTCTTCTTTTTTATTTCCATGTTCCCCAGCATCATTGTTGTTCATTTGTTCAATCGCTTCCGACTCTACATGACCTCATGGACCAGCCCACACCAGAGCTCCTTGTCGGCTGTCATCACCCCCAGCTCCTTCAAAGTCAAGCCAGTCACTTCAAGGATGCCAGCCATACAACTTGCTCTTGGTCGGCCTCTCTTCTTTTTTCCTTCCATGTTTCCCAGCATCATTATCTTCTCCAAACTTTCCTGTCATCTCATTATGTGGCCAAAATACTTAATCTTAGCCTCTAATATCCTTCCCTCCAGTGAGCACTTGGGCTTTATTTCCTGAAGGATGGACTGGTTGGATCTTCTCGCTTGTCTGTATGTCCCTGCAATTGGAATCATGGGATTTTTAAAATCTGGGTTTGTTCTCGGGTTTTAGGTGTTTCTCCACATATCCGCATATCCGCATCTTGAGTCTAAAAATCGCAGAAATTTCCAGTGGAAGTCTTGTGGTGGCCATCTTGGGAGCCTCTAAATCTCACATCAAAGCATCAAGCGTGAACAACGGAGGCAGAAATCCCAGGATCAATAAGTCTGTATGTGGACCTCTTCTGAAGTCCCGGGATCTTTTTTTGCTTCTGTTTAAAACCCATGATTTAGTGCTGTCTGGAAGCGCCCCTAGTGTGATGAAGTTCTAAGTTGGGTCAGCCCAACTTATTTCACAAAAGAGGCACTTACACTGTAGAATGAATGCAGTTTGACACCTCTTGAACTGTCATGGTTCACCACTATGGAATTAAGAGAGTTGTCGTTTTACCAGGTCTTTACCAAAGACGGCTGGTGCCTCACCAAATTCCAATACCCATATTTACACAGCATGAACAAATGGTAAGGTTGTTAAAGTGGCATCAAACTCCATTCATTCTACAGTGCAGATGCACCCAAGGTTATTGAGAGGGGTAAAAATGCAAGGAGGACCATTTTGCACTCCTTGAAGGGAAACAAAGCTGCCTTGATCTTCCTGGCAGGATATAAATACATATAAATAAATAAGGCGAACTGACCGTAAACATGAACATCTGTCAGTTTGCTTTCTTCCAGTTTTAAGAACATTGGTTAATTTGATTTTATTAAAAAAATACTTAAAATGAAATTTTTATATATGCCTAGCTGGCCATCTGGGGATAAATATATTATTATTATTATTATTATTATTATTATTATTATTATTATTGGCTACCATGAATGTAACCAATTAAATTTCCTGCCACAAGGCACCGAAATGTCCTAAACCATCTCTCTTTACTGGTAGCACACTACGGCTCCCTCCACACAGCTGTATAAAATTCCACACTGAACTGGATTATATGGCAGTGTGGACTCAGATAATTCAGTTCAAAGCAGATATTGTGGATTGTCTGCCTAGATATTCTGGGGTATGTGGCTGTCTGGAAGGACCCTAACAAGCCAATGCTCCACAGGCTCATTTCTACTTGCAGGTGTGACATATGCAACCCCCTTGCAGATCATCTGTTACTCCATGTGTTTGTATGTATGTGTTACTGTGTGTGTAACTGCTACAATGTGCGACAATTCCTGATAAATGATCCTTTTGAGTTGTTGTATATTTTCCGGGCTATATGGCCATGTTCCAGAAGCACTCTCTCCTGACGTTTCACCTGCATCTATGGCAGGCATCCTTGTGAAGTCAAAAAAACAAAAATTCCAGACAGGAAAATATCAGGGCCAACAAAGGATTCCCTCAGGCAGGAAACAGCCAGGTTTTGAAGCTGCAAGGCCATTCAATGCTAATCAAGATGGCCAATTGAAACATTCACACCTCCCTCCCTGGAAATTTCAGATATATAAACCCAATTTTCCTAGTTTCCAACAGATTTCCTGAAAGAAGAACCAGGAAAATAAGACTGCAAATAGAAGGTCAGGTGCTGTCCTCACCTTTTTTTGCCTTGTTCTATTTTGAAAGGGTCATATGACTGTTCAAATAAAGAAATTATTATTATTATTATTATTATTATTATTATTATTATTATTATTATTTTCCAACAGACCTCACAACCTTTGATGATGCCTGTCATAGATGCAGGCAAAACGTAAGGAAAGAATGCTTCTGGAGCATGGCCACACAGCCCAGAAAACACACAACAACCTAATGATTCTGGCCATGAAAGTCTTCGACAATACAGCGATCCTTTCATTGCTTTCAGTCCAACTGTCCCTGAATCATATATATCTGAAGGACGTCTTTTGACACTGGTCACTCAGTGTAAATAACCACAGATTCCAGTTGAGACTTTTGTGTATTTTTTTTGTTTCAGAAGTCAATGTCAGAATGTTGTAGGTTCACAGGTCTGTGGCACTAAATTCACAGTGGATAAATGCTGAGCGCCGGAAGAGCAACTACGATCTCAGAAAAGGACCTCCCTGCATCCGCCAAGATGGCACAAAAGCAACTTGGAGTTGCATTGTTTGGGAGCAACGCCAAGCGGCTTTGCAACCGTGGGCAGGCACACAGATACACAACAAACAGACGCACACTTTCCTCGGGCCCATTCCCTCTTCTGAGAAGCAGGCACGGTATTGTATAAAAGAGCACAGCATTTCGACAGCATGTACAGGTTGTGCCTGGTGTGGCAAAGGGGAAATAGAGATGTTTTCCTGGGTATACGCTATACATTTTAAGGCACACCAAAAAGGGGTTGTTTACCATTTCCATGCGACGCCAGCCTTCTTTGTGTAAGCTACAATTTACTGGAAAGAGTTTTAAGATTGTGGATTTTTGTTTTCTTCCTTAGGATCGATTGATACAGTTCTGGTTTCTTTCTTGGTGTGTGTGTTTTGCTTTACAGTTCCATACCTACGGGAGATTATGAGGATGGGTTTTTCAAAAAATATGGATCCATTTCATATACATAGATATAGTGAGACATAGGCATATCTACGTATATGAAATAGGAAGAGAGCTCTGTTACCTCCCCTCCGGACTTTAGTACAGTACTTGTGAATATTCTGGGGTGTTCCGCCAGCGAATGCTTTCTGCACTGCATTTGTTCCAATGCAGAACCCAACAGCAAACAACCAAAAGAATTCCAAAGAAAATAAGACTGTCTTATCATGCAATGCAAGTAGGCATCCTGTGGCACTAGTTTCTTATCCAACCTATTTACAATACAGCTGAGTACATTATTTACACAGGTTACAGTGTTTTGTCACAATGGGTCCCCCCCCCCCCCACGGTCCCTCCCCGCAACCCTCCCCCTGCCCCAAAAAGTGTTCCCGGTGCTACATCCTGTCAGACGTGTGTTTCAATGAAGGAATGCGTGTGTGTCAGCAGCGGGGCCGGGGCTGCGAGTTCAGAGGCTCCGTTTTGGGCTTTGAGAGCGGCACCGTACTCACAAATGTCCAGGAAAAACTCATAGTTCTTTACTTTCCACTCTTTGAACTTTTTGGACGTCAACTTGGGATCGTGAAGGAGGTTGTTGATCACGACAAGGTCTCCCTCCTTTGCCTGTGAACAGTCAAAACAAAACAGGTCAGGTGTAAAGAACTCCTTACCTTAAGCAGCTAGAATGTGGGTCTGGTGAAGCCGTCGTGGCCATTTTAGAAATAGGAAAACAAGGAGACGCCATCTTAGTTAAGGGTTGTGGAACCCCTGGTGGCGCAGTGGGTTCAACCCCTGTGCTGGCAGGACTGAAGACCAACAGGTCGCAGGTTCGAATCCAGGGAGAGGTGGATGAGCTCCCTCTATCAGCTCCAGCTCCTCATGCGGTGACATGAGAGAAGCCTCCCACAAGGATGACAAAACATCAAATCATCCGGGCGTCCCCTGGGCAACGTCCTTCCAGACGGCCAATTCTCTCACACCAGAAGCGACTTGCAGTTTCTCAGATCACTCCTGACATGACCAAAAAAAGTTAAGGGTTTTCTAGAGGGGGTGTGTCCTAATCCAGGAAGCAGAGATTGGATGGCTAGGATTGGTTAGAAAATAGGGGGTGGAACCTAGCATTCAAAAAGAAAAAAAAATGTACCTTTTGAACTGAGGCTTGAGTTGGAAGTTGGAATTTGTCCGTTAGGGAGTTTGTCAGTTAGTGATAACAGGTGGTTGGTGTTAGATAGGAGAGCTGGGTTAATCTTTTGTGGTATTCAAAAGCTAGAGAAATCAGCTAGTAATACGGATAGTGGAATAAGAACTTGTTTGTGGTCTGTTGTTTGTCCCTGAGGAAGGCTAGGCCAAAGGGGGAATTTTGTTTGGAATTATTTTCAGCGATTAATTTCCTGAGATAATCTCCTGTTTTGTTAACATCAAGATTTGAACCCAGAATCCATCTAAGAATCGTACATCAAAAGTAACCAGAAGCTTATGTACCAGTAACTTACTGAAACCACTACGCATTTGTACCAGAAGAAGTTTAAGCTTGTTAAATAAATGTTTTGTTATTGTTAACACTTTATGCCAGCCTTGGTGTGAACATCATTGTGATTTAAACCCTCTAAAGAAAACAAACATTACTGCAACACAAAAGGGTGTTACTAAGCATACTCTCCACATACAACTCAGTCTGAATACCAAACAAAAAAAGGTGGCAGCGAAGAAAATTAAAGAAACAGTCCCAAGATCTCCCAGTTGCGTCTTTCACTATTTTAAAATACCCTGTTCCTCCCTGCTAAGTTCCTTATAATTAGCGGCAATCGGCTGGTATAGTTTTTCCCGGGTTCCTTATAATTGGTGGTACAGAGGTGCGGTAACATTATATCAGGTATATATTCTTGCCAATTTTTTTTTAGTGTCAGGAGCAACTTGAGAAACTGCAACTTGCTTCTGGTGTGAGAGAATTGGCTGACTACAAGGATGTTGCCCAGGGGACACCCAGATATTTTACCATCCTGTGGGAGGCTTCTCTCATGTCCCCGCATGAGAAACTGGAGTTCACCCCACTCCCTGGATTCAAATCGCCAACCTTTCGGTCAGCAGTCCTGCTGGCACAAGGTTTAACCCATTGCGCCAGCAGGAGATTATTATGTTTTACTTTTTAACTTAAGTTTTAACTGACGTTGTATGTTTTAAGGCACTGTGGAGGTGTGATTATAAGCTGCCTTGAGTCCCCCTCAGGGTAGTGAAAGGCGGAATATAAATAAATAAATAAATTGTTACCATGACTCTTCATTTTAAATATTGTAAATTTTTTGCACTTGGCTAGGCCCATGCCTGATATATGTATATTATATATTATTTATTTATTTACAGTATTTATATTTCGCTCTTCTCACCCTGCAGGGGACTCAGGGCAGATTACAATGTACACATATATGATAAACATTCAATGCCAAAGACACACAACAGATATAGACAGACAGTCAGAGGCTATTTAACTTTTCTGGCCGCCAGGGGAGCTGCCGCTTTCATCGTCCATCTGCGACACTGATGAAGTACTTCCGCATTCCCCGCATGCTTTGCTGGAGTCTTTTTTATGGTCTCATAAATTAGTTAAATTAGCCTCCCCACACATAGGTGGTACCTAATTTTCCTACTTGACAAATGCAACTGTCTTTCGGGCTGCAAAGGTCAACAACATGCTACACAATTGGTCAGAAGCTCACTCTGACCCAGGCTGGCTTCGAACTCATGACCTTTTGGTCAGAAGTGATCTTAATGCAGCTGACACTCAGACAGCTGCGCCACAGTCCTGGTGCTAATATAATATAATATAAAATAATATAACATAATATAAACAGTTCTTGGGACTCCATGAGAAACTTTTGCTTCAACAGCTGAAAAGGTTTGAGAACCCCTGCTACAGTTGATTCCCGGTGTAATTTCCTCTACAGTCACTCCATGTGGTTCATCACAAACATCATTGTCAACAGATTTTCTTTTCTTAATGAGTTTATCAATTTTAGTGTAATAACTGCAACCCAATTAACAAATTGTGCCAATTATAAAAGTTGTAACAGTACCTACACTTGTACTGCACCAGTGCCCCACTTCTGTAGTTTTTAAAAATATTATCAGAAGTGAATTGAGAATATACTGCAAGTTGCTTCTGGTGTGAGAGAATCGGCCATCTGCAAGGACATTGCCCAGGGGATGCCCGAATGTGTTACCATCCTGTGTGAGGCTTCTCTCATGTCCCCACATGGGAAGCTGGGGCTGACAGATGGGAACTCACCCCGTCTCCCAGATTTGAACCATTGACCTTCAGGTCTTCAGGTCAGCAGTTCGGCTGGCACAAGGGTTTAACCCATTGTGCCACCATGGCTCCCTACACTGATCTTTCAATGCTGAGACAACCACCTACATGTGGGTTACATGCAGGTAGATGTCAGGGGAGACATGTATGCTCTACCCCTTTGTGTTCTGTCCAAAATTCCTCATTCTGGCAATTGTCAGATCTGAACAGTAAGACAATTGTCACTTCTGATTAGTCTGCATTGCCTCTCCTCCTTGTCCTCCTCAATGGGAATCAGGAGCAACAAGGATTGACCATTGCTGGCAAGGAGGATTGTGTGTATCCGCCTGCTCAGTATTGGATCTGGGCCATAATGTAGCCAGGATGTGCTTACTTTTAAAGTGCTCCTGAGAACTCGAATCCGGTGAAGTTTTTCATTGATAACAGGATCGTTGCATCTCTTTACGAAGGACCTCCGGAATTCCTGCTTGGTGGAAGGACGTTGCTCTCCAAACGCTGACAAACTAGCTTGTTCCAGAGACTTGTACAATTCATGCAAACCATCTGAGCTCTCTTTTTGTTCTTCTACATTTTCTGGAAAACAAAATCACATTTCATACAGATGTCATCCATTGACAGTGAAAGAAACCAATGAAAGAGGTCAGTGTGCTTGCCTTTGCAAAAGGATGATAATAGTCATGTCAGGAACTGGTTTCCAGGCCTTGAGTCTTGGCGCAAAAAACCAGAATCCTGACATGGACTGCTGATAAGAATGTGCAGCTGGTGGCCTTGGGGGGAAGCAGTTGGCATTTGGCGGGGAATATTGCGCGGGATTCTCGGCCGGCGGGAAAGGGGAATTCAATTGTGAGGGAGGGTGTATAAGGGTTAAACTGCGGCTACAGGCCAATCCTGGCTTTCTTCGTGTATGAATGTCCAGCAGTAAAAGTTCCTGATTGATTACGGATTGGCGTCCTGTGTCGTTATTGGGAGCGGCTGCTGTGAGCTTACATTAAGCCAGGATTGGCGGTACCATCCCGCGGCTGCGGTGAGGTACCCTTATGGAACGGGAGGAAATTCCAGCAGCAGGGGGAGAGCCGGACTCCCCTTTTGAGAATGCGGAGGAGGAGCTGGAGAGAGTAGCTGCCTTGGCTTCATCGACTGCTTATGCCCGGCCCAACGGAGTAACACAGAGGCGCGTGAAGGGGGCCGAGGCGGCAGCGAGAGAAAGCAGTGGGCTAGATTTCCCCTCCCCGCAGAGGTTGGAGTATCTGGAGGAAAAAGTGGCATCCATGGAAACCACCCTCGCAGTGATGTCGAGGGTGATGGAGCGGCTGGCCCCCTTGATAGAGGAATCACAACCCCGAAGAGAATCGGTGTGGAGTGCAGAGGAGAGGAGTGACCGGGGACCCGGAGCACGGCCTAAAACACAGGCGAGTTGGAGAACCGGGGCAGAGAGTGATGAGGAGGAAGGACAGCCGCGGGGACTAACGCTAACGTCCCAGCAGACGCTTCTGGTGCCCCCGGCCGGAGCCGGGCGTGGCACAGGGCGGCACGGATTGCCCCCAGAGCAGCATGGGCTCCAGGGAGGGCCACCGCGAGCGGAGAGCCGGGAGAGGCAGCCCCTTGTCCCTCACCAGAGGAGGGAGGAGCTGCGAGTCGAATTTGGAGGTGAAGCCGGGAACCTCGATTATTTCCTAACCATGGTGAGGGGATACCTAGAGGACAACGCACCCACCTTCAGATCGGAGGCAAGCAGAGTACGGGCAGTGGGTGCGGCACTGAGGAGAGGAGCGGCAGAGTGGTATGTCCAACTCCATGCCAGACATGACCCATGTTTGGGGTCCACGAGGCGTTTTCTGGCAGCGATGGAAGCACGCTTCAGGGATCCGCTTGAGAGAATCCGAGCGAGAGAGAAGTTGCAAACAATAACCCAAGGTCAGCGTTCCGTGTCCGAATACGTAGAAGAATTCCAGTTGCGGGCAGAAAAGGTACCTGAGTGGTCCAATACCACTAAGGTCCAGATATTTAAGGAAGGCCTGCGGAAGGAAATCTTGGCCTGGGCACTTCATCGCGATGATCCAGAGGAGATAGCCGGATGGATTGAGCTGGCTGGCCGCATCGAGACGACCCTGGCTCAAGTCAAGAGACATCGAGGGGCGACACTGCAGCAGCCGAGAGCCAAGGAGGAGAGTCGGAGGGCGGAGAGAGGCACGATCGGGAAAGGCCCAGCCGGAGGACCCAAGAAGCAGAGAGGCTGCTGTTTTGTATGCGGCCGTTTTGGGCATCGGGCTGCAAATTGTCAGCAGAGGAAAGGGGGGATCCCCCTCAGTCAAGGTTTAAACCGGCCGCTGGGAAGAGAGCGGAAGAGAGCCTCCCTCACAGGGCCCCAGTGGGGGATCTGGTGAGTCACAACCCAGGGATGTTAGTATTCCCGATAAGACTAGGAGGGGAGGGGAAGTGGGCCAGCTGCAAAGCCCTCATGGATTGTGGCTGCTCCAGGAACATTATGACCCCAGAATTGGCAAATGAACTGAAATGTGAGAAGGCCGTCTTGCCAGCCCCTATAGCATTCTCACAGCTGGATGGCTCAGTAACGGCTGGAGCCCCAGCGCGATTCGAAGTGGGGGAAGTGAAATGCAAGATAGGGAATTGGGAAGGCGGCATAACATTTGTGGTATCCCCTATAGCAACTTACAATGTGATATTGGGGATGCCGTGGTTGAGGGAGGCAAACCCACAAATCAATTGGAGGAAGGGCAGCCTGAGCTTCCAAGGCGAAGAGAAGGGGGACTGTTATAAGGGGGAGGGAGGCACGACAGACGGAGTGCAGGAGATCCCTCCCAAATATAGAGACTTTGAGGATGTGTTTGATGAAAAGAAAGCGGATCAGCTTCCTCCCCCAAGACGGGTCGAGGTGAAAATCGAGCTCAATAAAGACGCTAAGCTGCCTAGGAGTAGGCTATACCCAATGTCGGCTAAGGAGATGGAGGAACTGAGGAAGTACATCGATAAGAACTTAGCCCGAGGGTTCATAGGACCATCTGAATCCCCATTGGGGGCCCCAGTGCTATTTAGGCACAAAAAGGACGGCTCATTGAGGTTGTGTGTGGACTATAGGGGGCTGAACGCAGTGAGCACGACCAACAATTACCCATTGCCTCTAACCAAGGACTTACTGTCGAGACTGTCAGAGGCAAGGGTGTTTACGAAAATTGACTTGATTGAGGCCTATCATAAGTTGCGAATACGGCCTGAGGACAGGTGGAAAACGGCTTTCTCATGTGCACTAGGCCATTTCGAATATTCCGTGTGTCCCTTCGGGTTAAAAGGCTCTGGGGGGGCATTTATGCAAATGATTAATGAGGTGTTGCACCCGCTACTGTACCGCGGAGTGTACTGCTTTGTGGATGACGTAATTATATTCAGCCGTGATAGGCAATCCCACGTTCAGTTGGTGAGGGAGGTACTCCAGAAATTGAGGGAAGCAAAGTTGTTTGCAAAGCTGCCAAAATGTGAATTTAATAAGGAACAAATAGATTTCCTCGGATACAGAATCTCCTGGGGAGGGGTGGCAATGGATCCCTCAAAGGTAGAGGATGTCAGGGGGTGGGGACCCCCCCAAACACGCAAGCAGTTGCAATCATTCCTAGGATTTGCAAACTTTTATCGGGTGTTCATAAAAGACTTTGCTCAGGTGGCACTGCCCCTCACCGAATTGCTGAAGACAAAGGGGAGGGGGGAGACGATAAAGGTACGGTCCCCGGGAGCAAAGTTGAATTGGTCAGCAGAGTGCCAGAGGGCCTTCGAGGAACTGAAACGCAGGTTCACAGAAGAACCTGTCCTAATCCACCCCGATCTGACTAAACAATTTGTGATCCATTGTGACGCATCAGATTGGGCCTATGGGGCAGCATTGATGCAAAGGGATCCGGAAGGGAGGTTGAAACCATGTGGGTTCATATCAAAAAAGTTCAGCGAGACTGAACGAAACTGGCCGGTGTGGGAAAAGGAGGCCCTGTCAATCCTAAGGGCCCTGGAGACATGGAGACATTTGCTAGAGGGAAGCGGCATACCCTTTGAGGTATGGACCGACCACAAAAACTTACAATACATCACTTCACCCAGGAGATTGTCAGCGAAACAAATAAGATGGGGGCAGTTCTTCAGCAGATTCGATTTGCAGCTGAAGTTTCACAAGGGGAGACAAAATGTGGTCGCAGACACATTGTCACGTATGCCGGAGGACATAAGGGAGGGGGCAAGACCCAAAGGGGAGTATTTTCTCGGAGCGGCAGTGGGGCATGGCAGTGCAAACCAGAGCACAAGCGGAGTGCAGTCAAAAACTGGTGGGGGTAGAGAGCAAGGACGGGGGATGGGAGGAGGAGATAAGACAGGCATGCAAGGAGGATGAATGGTTGGAGAGGAACAAGGAAAAGGTGGAATGGAAGGGTGGATTGGGTTTTGTAAACAAGAAGGTATATATCCCAGTCAACCTGCGGGAAAAAATGATGATTAGATGCCATGACAACAAGGGAGCAGGACACTGGGGAGTTACGAAAACCCTAAAATTACTGGCACGCCAGTGTTGGTGGCCCGGGATGAGGGGTGACACAAAATCATATGTATCCCGATATAACGCATGTGCACAAAACAAAGTACCCACACAAAAGCCAACAGGGTTACTGCAGAGGGTGGCAGAGCCGTCAAAACCTTGGAGTGTGATTGCCATGGATTTTGTGGGCGAACTCCCGAATAGCCGAGGTCAACGCTACATATGGACAGTGATGGACTTGTTCTCAAAACAAGCGCATTTCATAGCGCTGCCTAAATTGCCATCTGCGGAAAAGTTGGCTGAGCTGTTTATTAAACACATATATCAGTTGCATGGCTGTCCCGATCAGGTGATCAGTGATCGAGGAGTACAGTTTGCGGCACGTTTCTGGGAAAGGTTCATGCAATTGATGGGGGTAGAAAGGACCCTGAGTTCAGCATTCCATCCCATGACCAATGGGGGAGTCGAGCACACTCAGCAGATGTTGGGATTTTTCCTAAGAACATACACTAATCATTGCCAAAACGACTGGGCAGACTTAATCCCATTTACAGAAGTCGCATATAATGGAGCTTGTCACGCATCCACAGGGAAATCCCCCTTTGAAATAGTCTACGGCATGGAAGTAACCCCTTTATCTCTTTATTTAAAGAGATAAAATATTGCAACGGGTATGAATATATGAAACGTCTTTTTTTAGACAATACATTCTCTTCTTCTTCTTCTTCTACTTCTTCTTCTTCTCCTGAGCACAGCGAGGACAAAACCAATCCCCCTTTGAAATAGTCTACGGCATGGAAGTAACCCCTTTGCCAAAGCTGCCGAGTTGGGAGGAGGAGGAACCGTGGGGAAAGGAAGGGTGGCCAGACAAAGCGAGGGCGAGTTGGGAGGAGGTAGTGAAATCACTCAGAGAAGCCCAACGGAAATATAAGTTATTTGCGGATAAAAAAAGGAGGAAAGGAGATAGGTTGGAGGAAGGGGACTTGGTATGGTTGAACACCAAAAATCTCAAGTTGAATGCCCCTTCCAGGAAGCTATCTCCTAAATACATCGGTCCGTTTAAAATCTCAAGCAAAATCAATGATGTCACATATACATTACAACTACCGAAGGTTTTGGGGAAAATACACCCAACATTTCACTATAGCTTGTTGAAAAAGTACCAAGGTTCGCTGGATGAAGGAGTATAGTAGTGACATGTATTTCCCTTCCAGGAAAAAGAGGAGGAGGAGGAAGACGTCATGTCAGGAACCGGTTTCCAGGCCTTGAGTCTTGGCACAAAAAACCAGAATCCTGACATGGACTGCTGATAAGAATGTACAGCTGGTGGCCTTGGGGGGAAACAGTTGGCATTTGGCGGGAAATATTGCGCGGGATTCTCGGCCGGCAGAAAAGGGGAATTCAATTGTGAGGGAGGGTATATAAGGGTTAAACTGCGGCTACAGGCCAATCCTGGCTTTCTTCGTATATGAATGTCCAACAGTAAAAGTTCCTGATTGATTACGGATTGGCGTCCTGTGTCGTTATTGGGAGCGGCTGCTGTGAGCTCACAAGTCATTTTGTGCCAAAGCAGTTATTTACCATATGTTTATTTACTTTATTTCTATACCGCTTTTCTCAGCCCTTAGGCGATTCAAAGTGGTTTAACTGAGTCCTGACTTCAGTTCAGACTTCCGAAGGCAGCTGATTTCTACCAGTAATGGCTGCAGGTTTGAAACAAAATCACTGTTCTTTTTAATTGGTGACTGGAAACAATGTGGACCCTTCCGAGGACTGACTCTATGGAGAACTTCCATGACCTGTAGTCAGGTTGTAATCTGTGTATAATGCTCAGAAACAATGTCTTGTTAGTTTGCTACTTTTGATGTGCTCTAGTATCAAAACTAGAGTGCAACAGAAGTGTTTGAGATAGCGGTTTCTTCCAAATCCCAATTTAAAAATATCAAAATATAACATTTAAAAATGACACCTAAATCAAGATGAACTCAGTTGGATGCAGAATACTCATGCTAAGGCTTGGGGACTTATCAAAATACTTCAATGGAACGATAGCCTTTCTGGCTTTGTGTGTGTTTACATCAGAATCAGTGTGTTCAATTTAGACTTCAATGCAGTATGCTTAGAGACTTATTAGATCTCAGAACAGAGAGATGCTTTGGACTATGGACTATTATTTCTAAGGAAGATGCCCTGTGTTACCTACACAGAGAAACTACTTAAAATCCTATTGTAACTGGATTCATAAGCAAAGTGCCCGTATGCTGTATACATGAAGTTTTGTGAGTAAACCAACTCTGTTACTTTTAAAGGAGACTGTTTATTTTGTCTCTTGAGAGCATGATTTAAAGGCAAATAAATTTTAGGAGAGAGTAGATGTTTTTGGGCAACTAAATTATATGCTAAATGTTTTTAATTTTATTGCTTGTGGATGTATTGTTTTTAACTTAATTTATGTCTAATTGTAGGGTATAATTGTAATTGTTTGCACTGGCATTGAATTTTGCCATTACTTATGTGTAAACCAGTTTGAGTCCCCCTTGGGGTGAGAAAAGCAGTATACAAATACTGTAAATAATAAATAATAATTGCATTTTATGTTGTTGGAGGCATCAAATTGTGCCAACTGTAAATCTCCTTGAGTTGCCTTCGGGCTACGAAGGGCAGTATATAAATACGGTAAATAAATAAACACTTTCAAAACTGCTGAATATATACGTGTTTTGGTGCATTGGCATGTCTTTGTCCCTGACAGTTCAAAGACATACCTTGGTACATCAGTTTAACAGCTGAGAGACCTAGTTGCCTTGTATGAATTCTGTATATATTTCCAAAAGGTTATTTGACCAGTAGTTTTTCCAAAAAGTTTATGAATCCCATTTCCACAATGGTTATGGAGATTCACATTTTCCAAAATCCAAGAACTACAGTCCTGTGCTAGGAAAGCGATCCTAAAGTGAGACTTTTTGCACGCAGAGCTCAGCCACCAAGCTACACCTTCTCTCTCACTGGGTCTTTTCAACATTGTCTTACCTTCTTCACATAAACTACTTTGCTTTTTAATGGGCAGCTTCTCTTCTGATCTCTCCTCTGTTATCCCGCTGGGTTTTACATGGCCTTTGACTCGGACGTCTCTGTTTCGCGGAAGGCTTTGACTGCGCTGCTTCTGGGGCCGGGTGTGTGAACTGGGGCCTCGGTGGCACTCCACCAGTGGGAATGGGCCATCCTGTTCAAGGTTGTGCCGCCTTTGGACCGGGAGCGTTGCTTGCCGCCGCCTCTCTGGTGATAAGCCGAGGTGCCCGCTCACATACTCCGGGTCGGGAGGGACGGTCTGGAGGAAATGGAGGCCTGAACTGGTCAGGGGAGTCTCTATGAGGTCCTGCCATGAGCGCCGTTCTCTGTAGGGAGGCCTGCAGCCTGATGAATGCGTCGTCCCTGTTGGATCCTGCCGGGAGTCCTCCGCGGAAGAATGAGAATACGTTGATTCGCTGGAGAAATGTCGGCCGTGTTTGGGCTCAGGGAATGGACTCGAAGAATTCATCTACAAATAATGTAAACACTTAAGTTATTAGAGGTTTACGAAGCAGCTGAAATCCAATTAGTGACTTGTTTCGGAGATTTGGATTGCCCCCACTCTATTTTGCAAAGATTCGGAGGGGCCTCATTTCGTTTCATAATCCAAATCTCTGAAGCTTCGTAAAGATTTGTTCCTTAAGCAGCAATGGGGAAAGGTTTGAGGCTCGTTTCTCTGCATTGTTTATGGCTATGAGGATGAACCTTGGCACACTTGTAGGCAACATTTGCAACTTTAAGCCTGCCACGTTTCAGAACATTTTGATTATCCACTGATTTCTAGGAATTTTAAAAAAGTTTTTTACATTTACATTAAAAAATACAAGAGGTATCCCACTGAATTTGTGCACAATGAGACAACATAAGCAGGGCATCAATCCTGCAAAGTCTCACCACAGAAAATTACGGAAAATTACACTGCAAAAAAAAAAATACAGCTTGAAACTTTCCAAAACACAAATCTTTACTAATCTATCCGAAACGTTTCTGGGGTTTCATTTCGTAATGATTAGGAGGGGGGGGGGGGGGGGGGGGGGGGGGGAGTCCCATTCCAATTAGTAATTTGGAGTTTTGTATTAACAAATCATATGAATCTCTGAATTATGAAATAGACATATTAGTTATATGATGGAGGCCATTTGATGGTGCAAGAAAAAAGACAAGGGCTGTGTGGTGTAAACTCTCCCTGCTTGCAAAAATGTTCTGTTTAGAGTATTTAGCTGCCCTGAGTCTCTTCAGGGAGATGGTGGCAGAGTATAAAGAAAGTTTATAGATATTTTGCTGAGTTTTGTTGTTTCCATACTTGTCACAGAACATCTACCGACATACATTACTGTATCCAAAATGGTGACCAACACAAGAAACGCCCAGTTTCCCAGCAGGTCTATTCTCTGTGTTTTCTGTTCACTAAGGATATGGTGAAGACAGAGTGCATAAATCTGGCAGAGAGTTGGGCACTTATCTCTTCCCCACCATCTTGATTTCTATATATAGAACATACTGCAATTGACTTAGAAGGTCTTTCCATGGCAGCCATTGGCGCAATGGCAGTTGCTCAAGAAGTAGCGATGCCACCAGAAAGAAAATTCCTCTTGTGAAATGGAATAGCAGCGATATTCTACAGGTCAGCTGCTTAATTGACATTTTTAACCATCTTTGCAACAAGGGATTCCAATTCTTCTTATTTTCAGTGAATGATTGTTCCAATGAAATGAAGAAAAGGAAGTAAAACATGAGTTCCCAAAGGGATGATTCAGGGTGCATCTAATATTAATGTAGTTTGACACCACTTTAACAGCCATGGCTCAATGCTATGGAGTCAAGGGAGCTGTAGTTTGGTAAGACAAGGCTAAAAACCCCATAGAACAGTGGTTCCCAACCTGTGGTCCGTGGATCACCAGTGGTCCGCAAAAACTAAAACCTGGTCCATGGCTTCACTGTTACTACACCTTGCAACAAGAGCGACTGGTCTTATAGTGTTGAGGCTTATTAAATATGGTTTTCTGTGTGCAAGTAGATGGCAACTACTGGATGGCCTATGTTCTGTATCAGAAACTAGAGCTGATGTGGTCTACCCAATGCATTTTTCTGAATCAATACCCCAAATAACCAAACCAAATCTAAAGTTGACCAAAATTTGATTCGTAACCCTTTTGGTACTGATAGAATCATAGAATCCTAGAGTTGGAAGAGATCTCATGGGCCATCCAGTCCAACCCCCTGCCAAGAAGCAGGAGTATTGCATTCAAAGCACCCCTGACAGATGGCCATCCAGCCTCTGTTTAAAAGCTTCCAAAGAAGGAGACTCCACCACACTCTGGGTAGAGAGTTCCACTGCTGAACGGCTCTCACAGTCAGGAAGTTCTTCCTCATGTTCATATGGAATCTCCTCTCTTGTAGTTTGAAGCCATTGTTCTGCATCCTAGTCTTCAGGAAAGCAGAAAACAAGCTTGCTCCCTCCTCCCCGTGACGTCCTCTCACATATTTATACATGGCTATCATGTCTCCTCTCAGCCTTCTCTTCTTCAGGCTAAACATGCCCAGCTCCTTAAGCCGCTCCTCATAGGGCTTGTTCTCCAGACCCTTGATCGTTTTAGTCGCCCTCCTCTGGACACATCCCAGCTTGTCAATATCTCTCTTCAATTGTGGTGCCCAGAATTGGACACAATGTTCCAGGTGTGGTCTAACCAAGGTGGAACAGAGCATGGGTAGCATTACCTCCTTAGATCTAGACACTATACTCCTATTAATGCAGGCCAAAATCCCATTGGCTTTTTTTGCCACCACATCACATTGTTGGCTCAATGTTGGAGAGTGGTCTCTCGTCAAAGTGGTCCTGGGTCAAAAAAAGGTTGGGAACCACTGCCATAGAACTACAATTCCTATGATTCCATAGCATTGAGTCATAGCAAGCAAAAGGTATTAAACTGCATTGATTCTACAGTGTAGATGCAGCCATAGTTGTTAGAAGGCAACTGCTGAAAACATCCAATTTTTAAAAGCTAAATTATGTTTGTTTGGCATGATATTTAATGAGATTTTTTTCAAAAAGACACAGAGAGAAAGAGAGACAAAAATGGAAAGGGGGGTGTTAACCTGCATCCCAGTGGATCGAACAGCATCACATGGGTGAAAATCAGTCTGAGCTTCACCCATGTGATGCTGTTGCCTCAGTCATTCTCTCTTTGGTTCTGGCTGTTTGAGGATCACATCATTCAGGCTGGAGAAAAATCTGAAAGACAAATAGAAAGAGTCCTATCTGCACTTGGCAACACAGGTTAAATGAAGTAAAAACAAGTTCTGTTACATCAGCCACACATTCACTAGCCACAGGGTAACATATGGTATATAAATATAATTCTTTAGCAAGTTGACGTCTGTACTTTGTCCTGGTTATGTGGATATTTAGTATGACAGAAAGCCTTTGGTGGAAATTGTTTAATTAGGACCACTTTTTAAGAGAATTCAGATACCTGTATTTAGATGCAAAATGTGATAGAGACTGAAGTCATATTTGTTGATTAGCATCTTAGGCCCCTTCTACATTGCCATATAATCCAGATCATCAAAACATATAATCCACATTATCTGCTTTGAACTGGGTTATATAAGACTACACTGCAATATAGGATTGTGCATTCGTACAGAATTGCTTTTTGTTTATGTTTGTTTGAACCGGATGTCCCCCCGTTACTGTTTTCGCTTGACTCCTGAAAGTGGCTATGTTTCCGAATGGATGTTTTCATTCTGTGTACGAAAACATGAAACATTTTGGGGCATTGGCACAACAGGGTTAAGAAAAAGCCCATTAGGCACTCCGTCTCCCTGAGAGAGAGAGAGAGAGAGAGAGAGAGAGAGAGAGAGAGACTCAGGGAAGGAGTTTAATCCAGGGGGAGCTCCTTGGCTGTGTATGCTTAGCCTTGGTCCCCCCTCCTTCTGCCGACATGAGCTGGAAGCCTAGTTGTTGCTGTGGCTAAAGTTTTCCATGTTGGTGCTGAAGGAGGATGGTCCTGGGAGGGTTTAAGATACCCCTCTTTCTGGGATCCTTTTCCTTATATATTTCATTAAGAACTGGATTAAAAACATAAGAGTTAGGATACCACCCTTTCTGGGATCCATTGTCCTTATATATTTCATTAAGAACTGTATTAAAAGCATCAGCATTAGGATACCCCTCTTTCTGGGATCATTTGTTTTTATATCCTTCATTAGAACTGGATTAAAAGCATCAGAGTTAGCATACCCCTCTTCCTGGGATCATTTGTCCTTATATATTTCATTAAGAACTGGTTTAAAAGCATCAGCGTTAGGATACCCATCTTTCTGGGATCATTTGTCCTTGTATCCTTCATTAAGAACTGGATTAAAAGCATCAGAGTTAGGACACTACTCTTTCTTGGATCATTTGTCCTTATATCCTTCATTAAGAACTGGGTTAAAAGCATCAGAATTGGGATACCTCTCTTTCTGGGATCCTATGTCCTATATTTCATTAAGAACTGGATTAAAAGCATCAGCGTTAGGATATCACTCTTTCTGGTATCTTTTGTCCTATATTTCATTAAGAACTGGATTAAAAGCATCAGCGTTAGGATACCCATCTTTCTGGGATCATTTGTCCTTATATCCTTTATTAAGAACTGGATTAAAAGCATCAGAGTTAGGATACCACCCTTTCTGGGATCTGTTGTCCTTCTATATTTCATTAAGAACTGTATTAAAAGCATCAGAATTAGGATACCACTCTTTCTGGGATCTTATGTTCTTATATATTTAATTAACAACTGGATTAAAAGCATTAGAGTTAGGATACCCCTCTTTCTGGGATTATTTGTCCTTATATCCTTCATTAAGAACTGGATTAAAAGCATCAGAGTTAGGACACTACTCTTTCTTGGATCATTTGTCCTTATATCCTTCATTAAGAACTGGGTTAAAAGCATCAGAATTGGGATACCTCTCTTTCTGGGATCCTATGTCCTTCTATATTTCATTAAGAACTGGATTAAAAGCATCAGAGTTAGGATACCACTCTTTCTGGATCCTTTACCTTTTGTTTATAGAGGAGACCAGGTTTAATGCTTCTTAAAGCTGTTTAGAGGAGAGGCAGGTGCACCCGCTTTGTCTCAACAGTGGCAGAAGCCACACAGCTTTAAGATCATCTGGAGAGGCCCTGCTCTCGCCATCATCACAAGTACGGTTGGCAGGAACGAGAGACAGGGCCTTCTCAGTGGTGGCCCCTCGGCTATGGAACACCCTTCCTAGGAAGATTAGATTGGCTTTCTCACTCCTATCATTCCGGAAGAATCTTAAGACATGGCTATTTGAGTGGGCATTTGAAAATACGGAGTAACAGATATAATAACCATATGAACTGGACATTGTTTCAAATATTATTGTTTGAAGTATGTTTCATTATAATGTTTGATTTTATTGTTGCTGATGTTTTTTATATTGTATATTGTAATTGTGTCCTTGATGGCATTGAATTCTTGCCTTGTAAACCTCCTCGAGTCGCCGGAAGGCTGAGAGGGGCGGCATAGAAATGTACTAAATAAATAAATAAATTTCAAGGATGCCAGGGAAGGAAGAGCCAATGACTTGGAGCTCAGTTGAGCTAGGAGCACCATGTGGTCATGAAAGCAGAGGGGGAGCTGGTTATCGGCTCCTACTTGCTTTTGTGTTGAGCTGATTTTCGTACTGGGAGGGGGCTTCCCATTCCGTGCTCCCGAAGGTAACGAAAGGAATGAAAGAGTGAATGAAACAAATTCTGTGCACAACTCTGCTGCCATATAATCAAGTTCAAAGCAGATAATATGTATTTAATATGGCAGTGTAGAAGGGGCCTCTGTGACATTTATGTATAATATGTCGAAAAATGTGGGAAAACATCCAACAATGGTGTGCTTAGAAGGGAAAAACAGATTATTCAGCCATTTGCATTTTCCTCTTTTCCTTCTTCTCTGATTTATCTTCTCTTTACATAGATTTACATTCTCAGGGATGACTTCCACTTTTCTCTCTTTTTAAGCCTCTATATTAGTCAAAATGGAATGACTCTAACCATTGTGATCCAATTTACTGGATATTCCCTTGTGAGAAAGCAGAATTTACGTCTAAATGAACATGCAAGGAATTGACTATAAGTTAACAAGCAAGTAAATAAATAAAAATAAGAAGATATGATAGGGTTTTCTTGAAGTATTCTCAGAATCTGTAAAATATTGGTCATGGCAGTCAATTTCAATTTCAAAGTCGGGACTATTTTTGACTTTTGCTCATGGTTCCTTAGCTATACATGTACTTATGTTGCTTACAAGGTCAATTCGTGTCTTCCATAGTTTGGTTGTGGTCCAAAGGCTAGAATGAAAACAATGCAACATTAAGAATAGGGCATCATTCTTTTCTATGCTTTAAGGAACTTACTGAGGGTGTTCGGTGGTAGGTGTCACAAACTGTTGCAGGTCCCTCTTGTTTCAGCGTTAAGGAGCCGTCAATATCTTCCTGGTCACTTTCGCTCCAGTAATCTGCTATAAAATTGTTTGTATTGTGGTGCATTAGGTAACATTTTCAAAATATCATGGCATGCTGACTCTAGGGTCACATTGAAATAGCGCCAATGCCCAAACTGTGGTGCTCCCAACACAAACATGTATGTGTGCATACTTCAGGTAGGACTATTAAGAAGTTAGGCTGATATTTTGACTCTTCAAAGGGTGGACAGAGATAGAGCAGCGGTTCCCAGCCTTTGCTCCTCCAGGTGTTTTGGACTTCAGTTCCTACAATTTCTAACAGCTGGTAAGCTGGCTGGGATTTCTGGAAGTTGAAGTCCAAAACACCTAGAAGATCAAAGTTGGGAACCTCTGAGATAAGAGGATGGGAGTGGGAGAAAATGGCCCCATCAACACTGCCATATAATCCAGTTTCTAAATATAGTTCACCTGCTTTGAACTGGATTATATGGTAGTGTAGACTCATATAATCCGGTTCAAAACAGATAATCTGGGTCAGAAATATGACATTATATATTTATATTACATGTAATATCACTAATAATATTGCATTATAGAGGTATTATATTATATATTAGTATTACTAATATTTTGCTATGCTAATAATATAATATATTGTATATACATATAATATTTATAGTAATATTATAATGTGATGCAGTATAATACCAATACCAATACAATATAATATAATATATAATAATAATATTGTAATATAGTAAAACTAATATATTAGTATTGTACATGTTGTACAATCGTGTTGTAAACAGCTCTGAGTCCCCCCTGAGGTGAGAAGAGCTTATAAAAATGTTTACACACACACACACACACACACACATACACACACATATATATATAGTCATGTCAGGAGCAACTTGAGAAACTGCCAGTTGCTTCTGGTGTGAGAGAATAGGCCGTCTGCAAGGACGTTGCCCAGGGGACGCCCAGATTTTTTTTGATGTTTTATCATCCTTGTGAGAGGCTTCTCTCATGTCCCAGCATGAGGAGCTGGAGCTGACAGAGGGAGCTCATCTGCGCTCTTCCCTGTTGGCACAGGGGTTTAACCCACTGCACCACAGGGGCTCCAATATATATATAAATACAATCCATGGACTTCATGAATTCCCCCAGGACCATCATTTTTTACTTTCCAAAACTAAAAGACTTAAGCTTCATGCAACTTCCAAGGAATGCAATTCTGATTTTGAGCAACGAGAATTGTGGTTGTATCCAATCTGGCTGGGAGAAGCCAGTGCTGCCTAGGAAATGTGGACGATGGATGTTGGATTTTCTAGGTTGCTCAACCAGGATCTACCTGTACTTCATATATGTGGATGGCTTACTCTTGGGAGGACAAGTCAATTTCTATTCCGCATTTAGGGATACATTGAATCCGACTGTATTACCTTCATCTGGCCGGATATCCTTATCATCCGGTGTATATCCAATTGCTGCAAGACCCAAACGGTTCATCCACCTGATGAAAGAATAAAGAAAGGCTTTAAATCTGATACTTCTTCTGCTTTCAGCACAATTCAGTTATCTCCAGAATGAAGAGCTTACAATAATATAGGAATGTTTGCCCTATTTCTTGGAAGACTGAAGCAACGCGAAAGAAGTGTTCATTTTGGATGATCAGCAGTCTTATAGTGGGAAATCTATCCTGGATATAATGTCAGTAATTGTATACTATGGCTCTTAGCAGCCTGATTTTTCCCCCCAGCCTTTCATATCTCTCCGCAGGGAGAAGCTTGCACAGTTTGACAAGACAGCCTTCTTTCTAACCGTGCGCATCTCAAAGGGCCATGAATATTGCACAAATCTCCCCTGTAAATCCAACATAACATGTTCCTATAAAAGCCATCCGCAGGGGTGAAGGTGTGGGGAGGCTGCTCCCCTGGGCTGGAGAGGAAACAGTTCTGGGAATTACTTCAGAGACATGGGTTGTCTTACTTTTTCAGCATAACCTAGGAGTCCAAATTAGTTTGAATTAACCCTCTTCCTTTTCACAAACCAACAAAAGGTATGGTCTGTGGTTGGTACCATGATAAGGATGATTTAGCTCATGGAGGATGAAAATCTGTCTTGTGAAGAGACAGATGTCCCTGGAATATAGAAAAGTAGATTTGAATCTATGGCAGGTGAAGCCAGGACCAAAAATGAGTGGATCTTTTAGCATTGCTCAAAACGTATCATTTAAGGGTAACAGGAATCCTGGGGGAATGTCCTATCTGTGATTCTTGATAGGATGTTACAGATCCACTTAATTTGAGCTCCAGGCTCTAGAAAGTAATTTGGAATTGTCTAAGTTTTATCTACTGTTGTTTTAAAATTGTATTATTTTGATATTTGTTGTAATTTTATGTGACTTGTTTTATACTTTTGAACCATGTTTCCCTGGGAGATGGTGGCGGGATATAAATAAAGATTATTGCTGTTGTTGTTTTTATTGTTCTTATTATTATTTGAAACACAACAAGATGAGTCCACAGCAGACAAGATCGCTTTGCTGGCTGTTGTATTGGATCACACGTTGGACACTTCCCAAGTTATTGTTGTTGTTATTGTTATTTGAAACACAAGATGAGTCCACAGCAGACAAGATCACTTTGCTGGCTGTTGCATTGGATCACACGTTGGATGCTTCCCAAGTTATTGCTGTTGTTATTGTTATTTGAAACACAACAAGATGAGTCCACAGCAGACAAGATCACTTTGCTAGCTGTTGCATTGGATCACACGTTGGACGCTTCCCAAGTTATTGTTGTTGTTATTGTTATCTGAAACACAACAAGATGAGTCCACAGAGGACAGGATCACTTTGCTGGCTGTTGCATTGGATCACATGTTGGACACTTACCAAGTTATTGTTGTTGTTATTGTTATTTGAAACACAACAAGGTGAGTCCATAGCAGACACTCTGCTGGGTGTTGTATTGGATCACACATTGGACAGTTCCCAAGTGTCTAGTACTGTGTGATGTATCAGCGAATAATGTGTGCAGATCCCAGTAAGGTGGCCTTTTGCAGCTGGCAGCTGGTAATTATGTCAGTGCCGATTGTGTTTAAGTGCAGGCCATGGTCTTTAGGCACCGCACCCAGTGTGCCAATCACCACTGGGACCACTTTGACTGGCTTGTGCCAGAGTCTTTGCAGTTCAATCTTTAAATCCTCACATCGTGTCAGCTTTTCCAGTTGTTTCTCTTCCATCCTGCTGTCACTGGGATTGCAACATCGACAATCCATACTTTGTTTTTTAACACAATCATGAAGTCAGGAGTGTTGTGCTCCAAAACTCTGTCAGTCTGAATTCGGAAGTCCCAGAGGAGTTTGACGTGTTCATTCTCTGTAACTTTTTCTGGCTTGTGATCCCACCAGTTCTTTGTCGCAGGAAGATGATATTTGTGGCATCATCATCATCATCATCATCATCATCATCATCATCATCATCATCAAGGAGGGGAGACCCCAAAATCTATTGTCTTTTCTTCACCTGCCTTTTTCAAGTTCTGCTGTATTCAGAAAGCCTGTATTAAACAAGGGAGAAATGGCATATCCACCAGAAGTGCTCACAATAAGACTAAGGACTTCGTCCCATGCGATAAGTAAAGCATTGGGGATAGTTGTGGTTCCCTTGAGCTTTGAAACGCCCCGTTTGGAAATGAAATGGATGATTTTCCTACTCCCATCACACCTTTTCCCTCGTTCCCTTTTCTTTTCAAATTATGTTTGCCTATCATGGGTTTTTCTGAGGCTGAAATGTGTTGTAGTTCAGCTTTTGATTGTGCCTATACCTGATCTCTCTGGGAATTCTGGGTCTGCAAGTCAGCAGGAGACCCAGCAAGAGATTTTAAGCCCTGAAAATGAACTGTCTTTGTCTGAAGGCCACATTCCTGAAAGGCAGTTTGCTAGGGAAGCAAGGGCAGGAACAGATCTGAGCTTCAAGGGTGAAAATGAAAGTCCAGGTGGACAGAGTAATGAGCAGTTACATAGGAAATTTACATTATGTCAACATAGAGCTTCCCAGGAGAGTTTACGAAAGTCAAGACACCTATTAGCCAAAAAGTCCTTATTAGTTTCCCAGGGGAGACGGCATGATTTTCTCTCTATATTAGTTAGCTTGGTAGATGGGTCCATCAGTCCAGGCTACATCAGTATTTCAGTACTGATTTATTGCCAAGTCAAGGGATTTCTAGTTCCATGTTTCCTTTTGTTCATGTCTCATAATTACAGGTTTTGAGGACACTTCCTGAATCTCATGTTATGAATTTATTCTGCTTTTGTATTTCTGGTTTTTTATGCTACTTCTGTACTTTGATTTCTGTGGATTATTCCTGATATTTGGACTTTGGTCTTTTATACTATTTTGCTGAATTGCTTTTCATTTATCTATATAAATAAAAATGTAATGTTCGTTTGTGGGATTAACATAAATCAAAAACTATTGGACAACTTGACACCAAATTTGGACACAGTACACCTACTACCCCAAGGAGTGACCATCACTCAAAAATTGATTTTGTCATTTGGGAGTTGTAGTTGCTGGGATTTACAGTTCACCTACAATCAAAGAGCATTCTGAATCCCACCAAGGATTGAATGGAACCAAACTTGGCACACAGAACTCCCACAACCAACAGAAAATTCTAGAAAGGTTTGGTGGGCATTGACCTTGAGTTTGGGAGTTGTAGTTCACCTACATCCAGAGAGGACTGTAGACTTAAACAATGATAGATCTGGACCAAACTTGGAACGAATACTACATATGCCCAAATGTGAACACAGATGGAGTTTGGGGGAAATACAGCTTGACATTTGGGAGGTGTAGTTGCTGGGATTTATAGTTCACCTGCAATCAAAGAGCATTCTGAATGCCACCAATGATAGAATTGGGCCAAACCTCCCACACAGAACCCCAATGACCAACAGAAAATACTGTATTTTTTGGTGGTCTTTGGCAACCCTTCTGACACCCCTCGTGACCCCCACAGGGGGTCCCAACCCCCAGGTTAAGGCCATCCAGTCCTCCTCCCTTCACCAGGGCAAGAAAACATAATCAAAGCCCTCCTGATAAAGAGTCATCCAGCCATAGATATATATGATTCTCACTCTCTCTCACACACACACATGTGTATGACAGATATAATATCATAGATTTGAAAGGGACCCCTAAAGAAGGACAATAATATGTTCCATGTTCCAGAGTAGGCAAACAATCTCCACATCAACACTGACAAAAAAACAGCAAGAAGTACTGTTTACTAGGCTTGGGCGATCAAGAAAAAAATTGGTTCGAAACTCGTTTCGTTTCTAGGGTGCACTAGCGTTTCGAAATTCTGAGGACTTCCGAAATTTAAGATTTCAAAATTTCAAAATTTCCGAAATTTCGTAAATTACGAATCGATTCGTTAATGGCGGATGCAATTGCGCAATACGCTAAAAAAACCTCCAAATGGGACAGGGGGAACTTCTGAAGCTTCCCTCTCCCTCTGTGATAAAACAAACAACTATATTATATTATATTATATTATATTATATTATATTATAATATTATATTGTTGTATATTATATTATAATGTTATTATATTATATTATTGTATATTATATTATATTATTATAATATTATTATATTATATATTATTATAATAATGTAATATATATAATATAATATAATATAATAATTTATTATATTATATTATATATATTATATTATATTATAATATACAATTATAATATAATATAATAATAATATAGTAATATAATATATAATAATATAATATAATATAATATACAATGCACCAGACATACAAAAATAATTACGAAATAATTACGAAATAATTACGAAAATTGGAAAAAATTGTTTTGATTCTTAATTACTCCTCACACTATTCCTGCATGGCTTGATATTGGATCGTAAGCTAATTTAAATACGAATCAATAATGAATAACGAAATTAACGAACTGGATCGCCCAAGCCTACTGTTTACCCACAAGCATAAAGAAATTACATATATTAGAAACCAACACTTTCTCATTATTTTATTTTCAAGATCATCAGACTGGGCCACAGCAATGCATGGCAGGGGATGGACCGCTTTGCTATTTTACCTTGGACTGGAGTGTGTGTTAAGTACAGAGGTGGTTCCCAGCCTTGGAGTGCATCAGAGAGTGTGACTCACCCAGGATCACCCAGTGGGTTTCCATGGCTAAGCAGGGAATCGAACTCTAGTCTCCAGAGCTCAAACCATTACACCCTGCTGGCTCCCTTTAATACCAAGTGAAATAAATAAATGATGGACCTGTTTTCAATTAGCTGACAAGGCAAAGCATCTCCACTTATCTGATTAAAAATCAATATTGTTCCTTTCTAGCCTTTTCAACAGTTCACATTCATTTCAAAATTACAGGCTCCGCTTTGCTTTTATCTGCTTTATCGGGGCACCAAAGTGGTGTGATCTAGCCAAGTATTCTCTGATGCACTCAGCAAATACTAACTGCAGGAGGCGATTTGAAATATTAATAACATGCTGCTTTCCTCTAATTGGAATTAATCTGGACAACCTTTGCATTTTATCACAAAATTAATTCTCATCGCACTTTTGATTTCTCGAACTCGAGCGAGCTGATGAATAAATATCACACTCTCTGCTGATTTCATCAGATGTAACAAATACATAAAAAGGGAAATGCCGGGAAGGCTCTCTCGTTTGCAAACAGATTGGTGGGCCAGTGTTATTTATCACTTTACAAGAGACAGAGTGACCAACCCTCCCAGAGATAAATGTATTCATTGCATAATTAATTCATTGCAAAGTGCACAAGTTGGCTTGGTGCATTGCAAAGTGCAGAAGGAAGCATGAAGTCACTCCTTTTGCAAGGAAAAGCTGAGAAGAACCTAATGGGACATAAGGTAGGCTGGAAGGGAAAGGTAATGCATTTGCTTGGTAACATTTTCTAGAAAACAGACATCAGTCCAAGGTTGGATTCTAGCAGCTTGGCCCCTGGAACAGTTTCAAATATACCACATTTTCCGGCATATAAGATGACTCGGCGTGTAAGACGACCTCCAATTTTTCCAGTTAAAATATAGAGTTTGGGATATACACGCCGTATAAGACTACCCTTCTTCCAACACACCAAATAAAAAATGTAAAAGCATCAGGTTTGATTTCAATATGTTAATTTTTCTATTACTGTACCTCCTTCTCTGCCTCTCAAATCTCGCACATGCGCACCTGCACCACTTCACTGCAATTTTCAGGAGCGAGATCTGAGAGGCAGAGGAGGAGGTATGGTAATAGGATACAAGGGCAGGCCAGACAGGTAAAAGAGGTGTGTCTTTCTGGGCCCAGAGCCACTCCATCTCTTTTTTCCAAATCCTGGACACCCTGGATGCCTGCAGCTTGCTCTACCTTCTCTTACACCTTCCCGGTGAGGTGCCCGTTCACCTCACCACGAATCCTGATGAATGGATTTTCTTCTACCATTCTTGTACAGCATCGCCCTTAATGCTTTCATACAGCTGCTGCATATGGCAGGGACGTGGCCACTGCCATTTTTGAGCTCCCCCACCATATGCGGCAACCACAGATTCTCCAATCCAGATTGGAAGTTTCAGCAACCGCTCTATAAAACAACTCCCATGTATAAGACTACTCCTGCGTATAAGACGACCCCTGACTTTTGAGAAGATTTTATTGGGTTAAAAAGTAGTCTTATACGCCAGAAAATACAGTAGGTCTCCCCTTAAAATATATTCTCAGCAGATATAGTTCTGCTGTTGGAATGTCCTTTCATTCTTTTGCTCTCTATACATCAGAATAACTGTAATTTTATTGTCGAAGGCTTTCATGGCTGCAATCACTGGGTTGTTGTAGGTTTTTCGGGTTATATGATCTCACTACCTCTGAGGATGTTTGCCATACATGCAGGCGAAATGTCAGGAGAGAATGCCTCTAGAACATGGCCATATAGCCCAAAAACCTACAACAACCTATATGGCCATGTTCTAGAAGCATTCTCTCTTAGTGTTTCGCCTGCATCTGTAACAGACCTCACAACCTCTGAGGATGCTTGCCATAGATGCAGGTGAAATGTGAGGAGAGAATGCTTCTAGAATATGACCATATAGCCTGAAAGACCTACAACAACCCAACTGTAATTTTCTTTTGTAGTTTTGATCTTCCATCAGTGTTGCCTCCAAAAAATCTTGCAAGTCTCTTGGGAAAACAGGCGGACAAATGTCAGTGTGCTGGAAGAAACAAAGACCACCAGCAATAAAGCAATGCTCCTACGCCATCAACTCCACTGTACTGGCCACATTGTCTGAATGCCCGATCACCATCTCCCAAAGCAATCTCTATACTCCTAATTCAAGAACTGAAAATGGAATGTTGGTTGGCAGGAAAAGAAATTTAGAGATGGACTTAAAGCCAACCTTAAAAACTGTGGCCGAGAATTGGGAAGCCCTAGCACTTGAGTGCTCTAACCGGAGGTCAGCTGTGACCAGCAGTGCTGTGGAATTCGAGGAGGCACAAATGGAGGGCAAAAGGGAGAAATGTGCCAAGAGGAAGGTGCCTCAAGTCAGCCCTGACTGGGACTGCCTTCCACCTGGAAAGAGATGTCCTCACTGTGGAAGAACATGCGGGTCAAGAATAGGGTTCCACAGCCACCTACGCACCCACCGCCAAGACACTGCACTTGGAGGACCATCATCCTCGGGATACGAGGGATCGCCTAAGAACAAGAAGAAGTATACATTTGCTCAACTTCCATGGAGAGAACTCATGCACCTTACCGATTCATTTCTTCCAGGCAGTCCGTTGCGAAGAAGAAACTCTTAATTTTGGGGTGACAAGCTTTGAAGGCACTGCAAGGGAAGCAGAAAGAAAGAAATGGAAGCATACTAAGTCAAGAAAATATCCGATATTTGGGACTTTAAGAGCAAGGCATTCAGTTACACTTCAATTCCAAGAACCCTGTGGCAAATGCCTTCTGAACATTATGCAGAGTTCTTTTCTAAACCAGAATTTGAATTCTTTGACTTTATGGATCTAAAATTCTATATTTCCTCCTTCCAAAGAAGATCACGTATATTATTTTTCAGCTGTAATGCAAAAATAGGATGGTAAAAAGGGGAATTTGGTCTGTGGGCCAAATGTTGTCTGTTTCGACAGAAGGGAAACAAAGGGTAGCACCCAGCAGTCATACAATATCACAAGTTTATGGCCTTAACAAGTGCTTGCTAATCAAATAAAGAGGGAATTGTCAATTGGGGGACACAACAGCCAAGGTCTCTTCAGCCTACCTCCATGGGCTGCACCCCACATAAGGCCTAAATATCTCCATTTTCCTTTACAGTCACATGAGAACAACAAAGATTTGGGTGTCTTTTATTTGAAATTCTATTTGTTTTGGTTTCAGTAAAGTTAAAATGCTAGTTTTTCAGCCCCCTTTTTAGGCTGAAAGAGCTCCCCTCGGCTTATACTTGAGTCAAGGTTATTTATTATTTTACTCTGTTATTAGCATTATTTTTATTACTTTTATTATTTTACTCTATTATTAATATTATTATTATATTTACATTACTTTACTCTTTTTATTGTTATTATTACATTTGTTTTTTACTCTATTATTATTACATTATTTTACTCTATTGTTATTATTGATTTATTATTTTATACTATATATTATTGTTTTATTACATGTATTATTTTACTCTATTATTATTATTACATTTATTATTTTACTCTATTATTATTGGAAAGATACATAAGGACATTTACATTGAAGGAGGTTAGAATAACGGTTTAATCAGAGTCGGACAGTTGTAATGAATTCTCTAACTTTTAGGCTAGGAAGATGTTGGGGTTCAGCCTCCGTGTGAGCCTGAACCTGATTCTTTGATTGTATTTCCTGATGCAACTGAACAGGCTACTGAACATGTATTTTTCCCTGATGGTTTGGAAACTGTTGATTCTGAGGGCAGTGGCTGGGAAAATGAAACTACACATCCTAATGAGAATGTTTCAGAATCAAGCGGTGATAACTCTCCAGAGAAGCTAACACCTGCCTTTTTAAATGAGGATAGAAGAGTACAGATTTGGGAAAACAGGAGTGAATCACAGAGCCTGCGAAGGTCAAGTAGATTAAAGGAAAAGGAGGCTTCCAAGCCAGGAGGCGTGTCCTGAAACAGTTTCTTTAGTTTTAAGTGTCTCCCCCCGGGCTGTCTCGTTAGATCAAGCATCGTTTAGACTGAGGCATTACCTTGGCAGAGTTCCCGTTTCCCATGGCCTGCATTCCCAGAGGCTTCTAGTTTTCAAGTACGGTTAGTGAGATGCTAACAGCTTCTAGGTTTTTATAGGGTTGCTTTTGGAATTTTGATCTAGTTCAGAGATATTCCTGACTGCTGAGTTTTACTGTGACATTTTGACTTTGCATTTTCCTCTATTTTGTAACCATTTTTCATCAATAAAAAAGGATTGTTTTTTCCCACAGTCAAGTGTGGTGGATTTAATCTTATGGTCTCGTTCCCTGATCTGGGTTGCAACAGAAGAGCTCAGAAAAGTAGGCCCAGGAAGTTCAGCAGCCATTTTAGAAGGGTGCCTGGGGGCATCCATTTTAGAGACTCATTTCCTGGAGGGGGCGGTGCTTAGGAGCAGCTTGTAGGGAAATGAGGGGAGTTTGTAATTGGCTGGGAGAGAGTGGGTGGAGCTTAACTTGAGAAAATAAAAAAAATTACTTTAAGGGTGCGTTTTAAAATCTGACAGGTCAGTTTGGGTTGGGTGTGAAAGAGAGAGGAGTTAGGGTTTGGTGTGAAGAAGAGAAGAGTTAGTGAAGCCAGAAGTTGATCAGTTAGTCAGCAGAGTCAGTTAGTGAGAAGAATTTATAGCTATTGGGAAAGGATAGCTGGTGGAGTGGAGAGACAGATCCAAAAGGAAAGGACTGTCTGTGTGGAGTTTAGGATTACTAGGCAGAGAGGAATCCTGTCAGTAGTTTCTGGAAGGAGAGGGGAGTGTTATGTGCAACTAAGCTTTGATCTGTTTAAAGAAACCATACACTTTATTCAACATTGAAACCGCTAAGCTTAAAGCCTGTATTGTTCAAGTTCTCTCAAATAAACAACATTGTTCTTTGTTCACAACCACTGCCTCATGTGTGCCTCTGTGTGAGAAGTTTTCCAAGCAGTTTATAAAAGAAATCAAAGTTAAATGGTGGCAGTGTATATTTAAAAAGGAATCTCTTTATTGTTACCTCAGAGAACCAAGCCTGAGTGCGAATCCAGCACATTCTTGCCTAAAGATACCTCAAGACAAGCCAAGGGCTTAACATTTCTTTTAAGTGTGGTGGTAGCCAGTGTTCTGTTAAAAGGTTTTTCGGCCAGAAGTTTGTTCCAGCTTATTCAGCTTTTGTTTTTTACTTAAAGTAGCCACAAGCTTTTACCTTACTGGTTTGCAGTGGTTGGGATTTTGTTAATACTCTATTATAGCAGTCTTATCTTAAATATCTTAAATATGTTTTCTCAGTTTTTGTGGTAAAATTAGGTGCCTCAGTTTATATTCGGGTCGACTTATACTCGAGTATATATGGTAATTGCACCAACATGTGCCTCCAATGGAGGCCAACAGGTAGAGTCATGAGTCTCATCATATCCAACAGTGCCTCAACCTTCTTCTTTGGAGCTTAGGATTATTTTCTATAATATAAAGACCAAATTCTTTTATATCCTTGCAGACTCACAAAACCAAAATCTCATACACTTTCCCCACACAGAAGTTCTCTCTGTGATGTTTTTGTGTGCGTACCTGGCTTGAGGTCCAGGATACGCAACTTCCTCGCAGTCCTTTTTTTGGTTAGTCTCCAGCTCTTATTCAGCTCCTTAGGAGGGAATTCAAGCAGCCATTTCCTCCATTTCCATTAGAAACTCAGACCAGGGTCACAGATGAGCAAATATGGAATACCCCTCAATGTGTGACCTTTTAGCAAACGAACGGGAAGGCTTTTCAAAGCCAGCCCTTGCTGTTCACACAAGGAAGTCTTTCACTAAAAGAAAAGATGCTTCGCTTTCCTTGGCATAATAGCTCTCCAACAGCATTTGCTGGTAGGAACAAAAAGATGAAAAACAAGGTCTGGGTCTTTGGTTCTTGGTGAGTAAGCCAAAGAATTGCTAACCACAGAAATGGCTCCGCAGGAGAGCAGAAGGAAAAGCCGGATGGATCGGCATCCCAAGGAGCAAGGAAAAAGGTTTCAAATACATCACTTCGACCCAACTTTCTCCATTTCTGTGTGCTTTTGTAGCTAAATGCCACATACTTTGCTAATAGCCTCTTGCGCATGTAAAAGCAATGGGGATTTTTGAAGCTATATACATAGCACGTTGGGACCGTTTATAGGAATGAACAGCACCTAGTTGAGGGAGAGGCATGACGAAATAATCCCAACCTTGCCATTGTATGTCATTACTCATCGCAGAACCCACAGTCTCTCACATTTTTCCTCTGTACCAGATCTCTGTATGTCCCATGAATCTTCGCTCTCATACAGTGAGCCTATATGAATGCTTCTGGTGACACAAATACCAAATATCATGCACTCAAAAATCATTGTGGTTCTTTCCCCCTTTTGATATTAACTAAGGACCATTACTGCATTCTCCTCTTTACTCTGCAGATATGTGCAAGAAGATATAGATATAGGTAGATATAGGACAGCAGTTCCCGACCTCTGCTTTGACCAGGGACCACTTGACCAGAGACCACTTGACCAGGGACCACTTTGACCAGAGACCACTTTACCAGGGACCACTTTGATCAGAGACCACTTGACCAGGGACCACTTTGACCAGAGACACTTGAGCAGGGACCACTTAACCAGAGACTGCTTGACCAGGGACCACTTTGACCAGGGACCACTTGACCAGGGACCACTTTGACCAGGGACCACTTTGACCAGAGACCACTTGACCAGGGACCACTTGACTAGGGACCACTTGACCAGGGACCATTTTAACCAGGGACCACTTGACCAGAGACCACTTGACCAGGGACCACTTGACCAGGGACCACTTGACTAGGGACCACTTGACCAGGGATCACTTGACCAGGGACCACTTGACCAGGGATCACTTTGACTAGGGACCACTTTGACCAGGGACCACTTTGACCAGAGACCACTCTTCAAAATTAGTATCAAATGGGTTAGAAATAAGTTTTTGGTCAACTTTAGATTCGGTTTGGTTATTTGGGGTGCTGATTCAGAAAGTTGCCTTGGATAGACCACATCAGCTCTAGTTTCTGATACAGAAGATATGCCACCCAGTAGTCGCCATCTGCTTGCTCACAGAAAACCATATTTAATAACCTAGAGCTGATGTGGTCTATTCAATGCAATTTTCTGAATCAGCACCTCAAATAATCCCAGGAGCAGGCTGAAAAACGAAGACACCAAGGCACCTGCATGTCCAGGCAACATGTGGAACGGCTCTGCACAGGGGGAGGGAAGGAGGAGGAGAAGCAGCAGTCAGGAGGACTGTGGTCATGCTTTTCGTAGATAATCAGCCTCTCCCCGCCCGACATCCCCTTTGCCTCAGCACTATAAGAGGGTTTCGTGAGACCAGTCACTCTTGTTGCAACAGTGTAGTAACAGTGAGGCCACGGACTATATTTTAGTTCTTGGGGATCACTGGTGGTCCACAGACCACAGGCTGGAAACCACTAGAATAATAGAAACAGAGTTGGAAGAGATCTTGTGGGCCATCCAGTCCAACCCTCTGCAAAGAAGCAGAAAGATTGCATTTAAAGCACCTCCAACAGATGGTCATCTAGCTTCTGTTTAAAAGCCTCCAAAGAAAAAGCCTCCACCTCACTGCGG